ATTTTCTAGCTTTTGTTTTCTTCCACACCATAATAGTAGGATATTATAGCAGGAGAGCAATAGTAATTTGTTGAAGGTCCAAACTTGAAGCCTCATGTTCCTACTACCTGATATATATCCCCACCATGACATATCAGCTGGATCATTTTTCTGATATTGACTCCTATGATATTTTGTGGTGACGTTCCTTTCTAAAACATTTTCTGAAAAATAAAAGAGGGAGTCGTTTTGAATAAGGCACTTGACAATTATGATTCTTAAAAAAAAAATACAACCATACTGTACTGTAAGTAGTAGTTTGGTTTTTCACAAATAGCTATTTTAAACCTTGCATCAAAAATATAGTCAACAAAATTACAGACATACCTTTCTTCCACTATATACCAGTCTTCATTTAAAAAATGAATATTCATTGTAGTCTGAACTTCGTTTGAATGTTCCTTAGTCCATTTTCAATTGCTATAACAAAACATCTGAGAACTAGGCAATTTATAAAGACAAAAAATTTATTTCTCATAGTTCTAGAAGCTGAGAAGTCTAAGAGCATGGCACCAGCATCATGCCACATCACAACATAGCAGAGGTCAACAACACATGGTGAGACAGCAAGCAAGCTAATTTAGGCCTTTTTCTTCTTATAAAGCCTCTAATCCACATAATCCCACTGGCTTCAGCGGCTGAGCCAGGAGAATTGCTAATTCAAGGCCAGGCTCAGCAACTTAATGAAGCACTAAATGACTTAGCCAGACCCTGGCTCAAAATAAAAAATAAAAATGGCTGGGGGTATAGCTCAGTGGTAAAGTGCACTTGGGTTCAATTCCGAATAAGTACATACATAAAGCAAGCAAGCCACTAAAATCATTATTGGAGGTCTCACCCTATGACCTAATCTAATCCTAATTACCTCCCAATGGTTCTGCCTCCAAATTCCATAAACAAGAATTTGAGGATAAATTTTCCAACACATAAACGGTTCTAGGAATACATTCAAGCCATTGTAGGGGTATACAGGCTACAAGGGGACTTCTGAGATATGCCAAGGTCACTTCTGAGATATACCAAGCTTTAATCATCTTTAAGATGATTAATATTTCCAAATGTGTGTATTCAGGTGTGCTACCACCATCTTTCTGCATATCAATCATTTCCATGGTTTTAGTATGAAGAGAAATACATTTTCCTTTTTTTTTAAAGAGAGAGAGAGAGAGAGAATTTTTTTAATATTTATTTTTTAGTTTTTGGCGGACACAACATCTTTGTTTGTATGTGGTGCTGAGGATCGAACCCGGGCCACACGCATGCCAGGCGAGCGCGCTACCACTTGAGCCACATCCCCAGCCCCAAATACATTTTCCTTAAGTAGTTTGTTGAAGAAAGTCCAGGGTATGTACATATAATGATGCGATGGTGCTCACTCTCTTCTCTTGGGTGTGTGTTTGTGAAGTAATGATTCATACAGACTTGATCTTCATTATTTGTGGATTTCATATTGATAAATTTGTCTACTCACTAAAAAATGTTTGTAAGCCAGGTACATTGGTGCACGCTTATAATTCCGGCAACTCAGGAGGCTCAGGCAGGAGGGTCACAAGTTTGAGGCCAGCCTCAGCAACGTCGTGAAGTCCGAGGCAACCTATCAAGAACTTGTCTAAAAATAAAAGATAAAAATGGGCTAGAGATTATAGCTCGATGGATAAACTGCCCCTGGGTTCATTTCCAGTACCAAATAGAAAATATATTTGTAACCTCAAAATCAGTATCCCCGGAGGTTTTATGGTTATTTGAGGACATGCCCTGAAGCATTTGAGTCTCCTAAAGTGCATGTTCCCAGCTGAGGTTGAACAAGGCAACATTCTGCCTTCTTGTTTCAGCTCTCACAGAGTAAACAAGTGTTCTTTCTGCAGTCTATTTAGTGCCACGTTTTTTGCATTTTTGTGCTTTTGGTTAGTGATTTTGCTGGCTAAAATGGTTCCTAAAAATAGTGTTGAAGAGATGTCTAGTGCTCTTAAGATAAGAATGCTGTGATGTGCCTTAGGGGAAAATTCTGTAAGTTAAACAAATTTGTTCAGGCATGAATTATGGTGCTGTTGGCTGTTACGTTCAGCATTAATGAATCAAAATTATATATTTCAAAAAGCTTCTTTGAACCTACAAAAGGTTACATTCATTCGATCAGTTGATGAAAATGAGGCTCACCGGAACCCTGGGTTTCCCCCAGGAGTCCTGGTTCAGTGTTTGCTCATTCATCATTGTGATAGCTTGGACATGGTTGGAGTGTGTTTCTCAGAGCTTCATGTATTGGAAGCTTGTGGTGGTGTGGGAGGTGATAGAAGTTTTAAGAGGTGGAGCCTGGTGAGAGGGCCTTAGATCCTTGAAGGCACTGTCCTCAGAAGGAATTGGGATAGCTCTCCTAGAAATCCTTGACTCTCATGGGAACCTTGAGCTCTCTTAAGGGGAACAATTTATAAGAATGAGGCGGATTCCCAAACCACCTTTTTCCTTTTATTTAGAGATGTGATCTCTCACTCTCACATATGCATCCCCCATTTACTGTGGGGCCCACTTCAAAGCGTGTGCCATGCTGTTTGGACTTTCAAATTTTAAAACTGTAATCTAAATAAACCTCTTTTCTTTATAAAGTTAACCTTCTTTAGGTATTTCATTATAGCAGTGAAAATGGACTAATATAAGTGTTAGTACCATGAAAGAGAATTTACTCTGTGTGAATGTGTGTATGTGTGTGTGGGGGGGGGGGGGGGGGGGGGGGGGTTGATTGATTGGTTGGTGGGTTGATTACCTTATCTAAGCTCCAGAAAGGAAAGCAAATAGAATAGAAGGTACTGCATCATGTTTATACAATTGTTGAGAAGAAAAAAAGGTTATGGGACATGGATAAATGACAGTTCCCTCTACTAGCCATACAAAATACTGACAGTCCAGAGCAGCTTTGTTTCTTTCTGAAGTGAGCAAAAATGGTCTGTTTTGTTATAGTTTGGAAAAGGTCTATTTCTTTCTAAAGTACAAGGTATAAATGGCTGTGCAACTAGTAATTCATAGGTGCTCAATAGTTTGGGATGTGAATATAATACTAACAGAAAGTCACTTTGCTGGGAAGACATTGAGGAATTTTATTTTTTCTTTTATAACTTCAATTATTCTGATTTACCTTGTCCATCTTTTCTCTCTGGTAGCTGCCTTTGAGGTTTTTGTTGGTTGGATACAGGGAAAGTTGCTAGACTTGTGGAGTGGATTTCTAGTCATTCAGCTCCATGTACCAGCACATAGCTAGGTTAGGTCCGTGTCAATTTCAAGAAACAAAATCAAATAAAAAAAATATAAGTATTTCACCAGATTGTATCAGATTGATACAATCAATGAGATTGTATGAGATGAGAATGAGAATGAGCTGGATGAGATTTTAGGTATAGAATGAGGTTGGGCTTGGAAAAAGCAGGGGAACAACTGCTTTGATTAAAAACTCCCATTTCTTTTAAAGGAAACATTTAAATTGTGAATCTTTCTGCACCCTATTCAGGTGTGGACTTGTGTACCCTGCAGTAACTCTTGCCTTGTCAGTATTCTTAGCTTTAATATTCTTTTGTAATTTTACCCTGTTCTTTAGTTTGCCAGTAAGATGGATATTGTCATTTTCAAAAGGTCATTTTGTAATGTGGCTTTAAGTGACATCCTCATGGTATCTGTGAGACTGACTCCAGGTAACCAAGAAGTAAATCAGGCAATGTTACTCCCAGTAAATGGGGGCAAAGTAACATTACATTACTTTGCAACTGAAATTCTGAAAAAAAAAAAAAAGATTCTTATGTTTTGGAGTAGTCTGGGACATTTACAGAACAATTCACCTTCATCTTTGTATCCTTTTGCTGTATCACATTCCAAAGCAAAATGTATCACATTGTCAGAAAACCAACTTTCCTCTTTGGCCTATATGTCCTCAGTTATAAGAAACTTCTTTTGAGTTAACAAGTATTCATTAATCCTACCAACTGCAAACCTGCATTTCAATGTGATTAATAAATGCAGAGCAGAATGCAGCTTTGTTTTGATGATGCCTACCTATTCCCTATAAATCTATTAAGACTTCATCTTCGAAAGCAGTTCTTGTCTGAGTTGCTCTTCTGTTTAAAAAATAATAATAATATTATGTTCTGAGAACTGGATTAAGACTCAGAATGTGGCAATATGTGATTACTCCTTAATGCATTTAGAAAATGTGTTATTTGAACTCTTGAAACATCTTTGTGAGTTGTACAATAAAGACAAGAATACAAATAAAAATAATTCAAATGCTCTGTAAAAGAAAATAGATTTTGCTTCTTAATATACTATAAAGTCTTCTATCTTACAATTAAAATGCAGATGATCCTCTTATTAAAAAAACAAATTTTTAGTTTGCCATTATAGAAGGTGAAAGAAGACACTTAGGAAGAAAATTAGCCGGGAGCTATTTTTTGTTTCAGAAAGCAAGTTCAGCAAAGGGATCAAAACCATTTATTTTTGTTCCATGTCTTAATAATTTAATTGTACTTTTCTTTCCCCAAAATACAAAAGGAGTACACAATGGTTGCAATAGGATAAATAAGTTATAAAAACTTAAGGATCAAATTGCTTCCAAACTTAATTTGATTGATTTCTGAATAAGAAATATGATTTTTAAAATGACATTCTTGTGCTTTCTAGAGAGCATTATAAACAGCCACAATAACAAGAAAAGAAAACTATTGTTTTAAAGTATGCTTGAATGAATAAATGTTTTGCAGATCACTAATAGTCAATAACATTATTTGGGAGTTTGGGGGATGATCTGGTTTGTATTACACATATTTACACTCTAAAATGCCTTGTGAATTAAGTCAAGTTTTACTACAAACATATGCTAAGAAATATGAAAATATGGAGCATTTTGCTTTATTAAGATCATCATTACCTAAGGGATACAATTGACCAGATTTTAAGAAACTGCTGGGCTTTTGTTTTTCCAGAGAGCTCAGTCCGATGAACTGGAAAAAATTGAGAAGCACGGCCGATCCTCCAAAGACAAGGAAAATGCCAAGTCTCTGGACAAACCTGAACAGTAAGCATGCCTTTGGGCCCTACAGAGGGCATCAAGGCCACAGTGGGTTCTTGCCATTTGGAAAAACAACGTCTGGAGTATGTAATTGGATGAGATGAGGATAAACATCTGTTTATATGAATTATATTTTTCCTCTTAACTTGGCTTTATTTCCTTAGGTTCCTTTATGAACTGTCACTAATCCCCAACTTTTCAGAGCGAGTCTTTTGCATCCTGTTCCAGTCAACGTTTTCAGAAAGCATTTGCTCAATTCGTCGCAAACTGGAATTGCTACAGAAATTATGTGAGGTAGGTTCTGGTCCAAAGAGAACTAAGCTTGAGTCCTGATATTTAATTCTGTTCAGTCATGTTCATATTACAAAAAAAAGTTTTATTTACTCTAAGTCCTCATTAAATTGGAGGGATAGCAATCCCACAGACGGGAACATTTATGATTGAGCTTCAAGATCAAAGCACACGGTCAGATTGGCAAACAGGGGCTGCAGGACCACGTTGCGAGAGTGTGGCCAGTATGTGCTGGCCTCCGGAGAGCTTTCGTACGTCTGCTTTTGCCAAAACTGAATTTTCACTTCTTATGGTCCCTCTAGATAGCAGACTTCCAAGTGACTGTGACTTAAAGGCATAATATTTACTTCCCTTCATTGTTTTTTGAATGGCCCCTCAACAAATTATTCATAAATATTCTAACCAAAAGTTTTAGAGCAGCCATTTGATTCAACAGAAGATCAAAATTTCTTTGAAAATTAAGAATAAATATTTGGCAGAAATAACTAATATTAACATTGTTTTTTTGATTTTCAAAAATCAATAGTACTATTTTGTTCTAGTTGTGGTAAATGCTTTTGAAAAGTGAAGAGACGTTATTAAAGACATTTTCAAAGGAAATGACATGAAAAATTAAAGTATGTTCCGAAAGAAGTGAGTGTATACTCATTTGGAAATGAACCTTTATAATTTTCCTTTTTGGTTTTCCACAATTTATGCCAAAAAATATGATATCGTTTTAGACATAGACACGATTAGGGTGATGATGATGATATTTTGTAGTAGTTCACGTTACAGCCATATATGTTTTCTTTGCAATTACATCACAGAAAAGGCCTAGATTGGCATCTCTCAACTTACAAAAGCTTATCTGAATGCTTGTGGGCACAAGCATTTTAACTTTTTAAAGTTAACTTCAGAGAAACTGCTCTTAAAATATGCATAGTAATGAAGAAGGACAAAGTTTGGTTGTGACCCAAAACTATTACTATGATGTTAATAGTTAGCATTGATTTCTGGTGTTTCAAGTAAAACTTTGTTTAAGAAAAACTTTGTTCTTTATCCTGTTTTACAGACATTAAAAAATGGCCCAGGGGTTATGCAGGTTCTAGGTTTGGTTCTTGCCTTTGGCAACTACATGAATGGTGGAAATAAAACTCGGGGACAGGCCGATGGCTTTGGATTAGACATTCTCCCAAAGCTGAAAGATGTCAAAAGCAGTGTAAGTATTTTGTATTAATGGATGTAGGCAAATTAAGGATACTCTATTTGACATTTTGTTTGGCAATAGGTTTGACTGTAAATCAGTTGTAACAAATATTTCTTTATGTTCCAAGATCAAATGTTCCTTTATGTTCTGAGCTAGATAAAAGTAAACCACAGGATATTTGCAATTTACATGAATAATGATGTCCCCCGAAGTGAATAATTTTGAATTCTATGTCTAATGGATACCTATAATATTTTAAATAAAAGTAATTATTATTTTCAGTCTATCATTACCAAGTCTGCTAGTATTTATCTTTTGGGAATATAAGGACTAATCATTTTGAATGAATTGGATGTCTACTTGTTATTTTATTCTTCTCCATGTAAGGCAAAAGAGGGCAACAGCTAACATATTTTGAAAGCAAAACAAAGATGAAGGAAGCAATTTATAAATAAAATATAAAAGATGATCCTGCTTTTCTACATATTATTTTCTTCCTCATACTCATGTGCATGGGAATGTCTAAGTCCCTTTGCAAATCTAGTTTTTTTTTAAAATAAATTTCTACAGATGTTTGTTTAAAATTAATATCTAAGAGATTGTAAGAGTGCCAGTGGAAATATAAGGTTAGGGATGATGTTCAGCGTCACAGACTAAAGTCTGATTTGGTAAACTTAGAAAATAAAGAGTTATGTTTCTCTGATAAAAGAATCACTACACAGAACATTATGATGAAGGAAATTCTGAACACATTTCTAAAATACTGAGTTTAAGTAAACAATTGGCTTCTAGAGCTGAAAATGTATGGATTGTCCTTCTTGGATAATGCAGTTATCTTTCTCATAAGAAAGAGACTTTTTTGGTCTCTTTCATCAAAATTTTGTTTATTCGTTCATTCACAAATGTATATGTATATATTTATCCACCATCTTTCATTGAGTGTCTATGAAATGCCAGACAGTATACTTTCCCAAAATTAACTATCACATAGTTCTTTCTTGGCATTTTTTGTGTGTGTGTGTGTGATTTTAGTGGTTATTGAAATAACCATATGTATTTCAAATGCTATTATATATGTATAAGAAACATTTTATAGGAATGTATAGACTTAATAAATCATATTTATTAAAAAAAAATCAGTTTCCTAAACATGTTTTCAAATATTTCTTAGTAAGTGCTTATTAAATTGAAACAACTTTCTCAAATAACATTGAAATATAAATACATCAACAACATTCAGTTTATCAAAATGGATCCGAAATACACTGTGGTAATCCTAATTATAGGTGAATAGTGATTATTTATGTTTTTTTTTTTTTTGTATTTTTTAACATCTTTGTTTCAATTCTTTGTTAAGTTAAATTGTATTAATTTAAATAATTATGGAATAATCTAGGATAAAAATAAAATACTGAATCAAGAAGCAAATACTATTAAATAATTTCACATGCCCTCCGAAAAGCTATGCAAAGTCTTCCTGAATTGGTCTTTCTCTTTAAAATGAATATAACTGTAACTACTCCTCAGTAACCATGGACAGAACTATTACTTAGATCACTCAGAATTTAACCCTCGGTATGCCTACCAGCAGGCTTTTAACAAATGTTTCAGTAATGGATGCATGAGCTGCTGTTCAATTGATTTACAAATTAGAAGAAAGGTGGCTTAAATCATTTTACAAGCAAATCTTAATTAGGGAAGCCTTTAATGGATATATTACTATCTCATGTTAAACTCAATTATGAAGAAGGGTTGCTCTTTTTATAAACAGAGGAAAAATCATAGCTTTATCTGTTAACAGAAAAACTATCCAATTAAACTGTATGTACAAAGTTTACTTGAGAAGTAAAAGTTCTAGAACAAGGCAGCATTCCAGACCAAAGATGGTACAGGAGGCACCAGACCTCCACATGTGCAGGTTATGTTTTTAATCACTGAAAAGTAAGTGACATACAGAAACAACCTGATTGACAACAGTTGGCATTTGCATTATATGGCCTTATTTGGGCAGCTTTCAGCCTGTGATTGAATAAAAGTTCAGCTATCATTGAGACTCAGTTGCTTGATTATAAGGGTATTTATATTCAGGTTAGGTGAAAATTTGTGTATACATCAAACTAAGCTTCAGTTCATTATGTAGCGAGGCCACTGTGGGTCCAACTTTGTCACTCAAGTATGGAGACAAATTAGGCCAAACTTATTTCAGTTTAACAGGTTGAACATTTCATAGAAATTAGTTTGTATCATAGGTTTTCATTTTAAAAATATGTGTATATACACACATATTCATAAATACATACACATACACACATATCTGGTCTCTCAAACTCAAATTATCTGCTAACTTGGAGCAAACCAAAAAGTTAATTAAAATTTAATACCTCTTAATGTGCTAGAAAGGAAGTGAAAAGCTGTTTTTCAATACTGTTAGATGGGAAGAAATTTTACATTTTTTAAAAATAAAGTACTACACACATTATCTTATTTAAAGCTGCATGAGTATTAATCCCTCAATCTCAGTTGCTGATATAACAAATTATAATATGTGTTCACATTTTAAAAGCTCCCATTTACCTGAAATGATACTTTTCTATTTCCAGGTCACACTTAGAGTTGGAGTAGTATCTGCCAGTCCAACTAGATAGAAAAGCTAGCAATATTTAATTATTTCATTTATGGTAGTAATTGTAAAACATAAAAATAATGAACAAAACTTCATAATAAGATTATTAAATAAATAACATAAAAGTTGAACTAAATTTATGATTGATGAGTGTAAAAATAGGAAAGTATTTATACTTATGACTGCCCTTTAACAGCTCTGCTTCCACTTGAGGCATAACTCTTTAGATACAATTAGTGTGGCAATTAAAAATGTAAAATTTTAATCTTGTCATGTATTTTTGTGGGTCCACTGCAGTTTGTTTTATTTAATACTATGTATTTAATAATTTATAAAATATATTGTTACTTACTTTGATCTTTCTGCCTAGGACAATAGCAGAAGCCTTCTGTCATATATTGTTTCATATTATCTCCGAAATTTTGATGAGGTAAGATCATTTTTACGTATATTATTTTTTTGTTCTTTCTTTAGGTAATTTGGCAGTGCTTTTTGTTGTTTTGCTTTTGTTTTTACCTTTGCTGCTGTTGCATAATTTTTATTTATATCAATGCTGATTTGTTTAAAAGTAATATTTGCTATTTAGGATGCTGGAAAAGAACAGTGTGTCTTTCCACTGCCAGAACCACAGGACCTTTTTCAGGCCTCACAGATGAAGTTTGAAGATTTTCAAAAAGATCTCAGAAAACTGAAGAAAGACTTAAAAGGTAACATAATTTTGAACTTATATGTTTTATTTATGCTTTTTTTTAATGAGAAAGGTAGTGTTCTCAATGGTTTTCAGGGAAGTAAATTAATCTTTTGTAGCCTTGTAGGACACAATTTTAGGGGTATGTGGCAGTAGAAAAATTTTGTCAATTTATTTATTTATTTTTTGTTTAGAAAGTTGAGTTGAAAATTTAGATATTTAATAGTATCTTGGTTTTTTGAATAACAATCAGGATCAGGTTTGCATCTCATTTTATTTTATAGCCAAGAGCATTTGCTGCATGATATTCATGTCATGGTTGGACACAGATTATATCATTGTTAAAAGATAAATTGTCCCTACTCACACTTCCTTAATATACTTGCCTAAGGTTTTGTGGTTTGTGAACTTTCCTGAAAACAAAGTATCTTATTATATATGTATGGTCACAAAACACAGGGGCATACTATTTTATTTTCAATCAAGAATGATTTCAACTTTTTCAGAATCTCATTGAAGTGATCTTTCACCCTTGAAACATATCCCTGATTTCACTCCTTACCTCATCCTTTATATTGTGGATCGGTTTAACTATGTACATTCTACCCTCCTCTGATATTTCTTCTACTATGTTTTCAATGTGTTCTACTATTGGAGCAACTTGGTGTGTTTGGGGCACTTTGTTTTCTTGTTTTTTCATAGTTGTTTGTGTTTCTGCCCATTTAACAGTATGGATATGAGGCAGTACAATTTCAATCTAAGTTATTTTGAAGAGAGAGAGTCTGAAATTCCTCAAATTTCTAAATTTAAAGTAATATTTACACTGAAGCAAATAGTTTGTAAATTTTTTTTTCTGAATATGATCCCTTTTTTCTGTTTTTCATGAGGTTACTCTTGTTATAGCATTGAAAATGCCCCAGTTATCTATTTAAGCCATTCATAGCTATTAAATATAGAAAGGGAGTGAATAAATATATGTGAGATTTACATTTGATATTGTATTACAAGACACAAATAAGAGGCCTGGTAACCACTGTCCAGGGCCAAAAACAGACACATAAATTTTTAAGAGACTCAATTCCAATTTTTTTTTTTTTTAGAAACCCATCTGTAATCATGTTCTAGTCACAAATATTTTTACAAAAATTTCAATTAACATAACAAATTCATAGAGTTTGCTTATAGTTCTTATGTATGCAGAATAATTCACACTGGGCAATTGCTGAGTGCTATGGGTGCACAAAGACTCAATCGTTGTTGAACAGGGCCGAAATTCTGTCACTTCCGTAGCCTTCTTCAACCTTTCATATAAGTATACATCAATTGAAGCCAAGAAAGATTACCTTAACTTCCTTTATTTTTATAATAATAACAACGATTTTAAAATTTGTTACATTTGTATAGTATTATGGCACTGTGACTTCTTAAGCCAGTAGTGGTGGCACGGGCCTATAATCTCAGTGACTTAGGAGGCTGAAGGAGAATTACAGCAGTTTCCAAGCAAGTCTCAATAATTTGGAGAGGCTCTAAAGCAATTTAGTGAGACCCTGTGTCAAAATTTAAAAGACATAAGGGAATAGATGTAGCTCAGTGTTAAAGTACCCTTGGGTTCAATCCCTAGTACCTCCCACCCCCAAAAGAGTAAATTCTTAAACTGATAGAAAACAAAACCTTTCTTTCTATAGAATTTATCCAATTTATCATGCTTCAAAATTATGATGGATATTAGATAGACTTACTTATGAAATTTTACACACACACACACACACACATACACTGATGTGGTGATAGGGCGTTTCTGGGGATACAGAAAATATTCCATACTCTGATCAACAAGTCAGTCTTGCAAGATAGGATGTAACTTTTGCAGTAATTTGATGGATGAGAGGAATAATGATTTTATTTATTCCCAGGGGTTGTATTGTTGCTTCCGTTGGTACCTCCCTTTGGAATACCCCATTTTCTTTTAGTATCTACATGCCTTCTTTCTACAGGTATTAAATACGCATGTAATCCTGAACATTTGGAAAGTTCTCACGAGACCTGGAGCTAACCTGAAAGTGCTAATAACCCTAGATGATTGATTTCAGAAAGATGAGCAGCCCAGTGCCACTGAATACCATTTCCTTTTGTGCTTTCTTTAACAATGTGGTAGCTACAGAAGACAAAATATTGAAGGAGCATCTTAGCAATTTTTAATTGCCTCAGAAGATTAAGGAGATGATTTTAACCATGAGGGTTTATACTTTATGTAGAGAAACGAGGAAATTGAAACTCCCATACACTTCATTACCAACTATAACATTTGATAGCTCAGTGTCTCTCCCACTTGCCCATAGGTTGCCACAGAAGTGGGAAATTCATGACCAAATGACTATAAAAACTGCTGGATTATGTTAAATTTGAAAGGAATCCACAGTATTCTCCAAAAGAAGGGTTTGCAGTAGTTCTCCAATTCATTTGACCACAGAGCACTTTTTTCATAGAATGTGTGGTAGGCTCTGCAGTTGGTAGAACACATTTTGAGAAATGCAGTCCTGGTTCTGTGTTAATAACAAAAGCATGCACTTGCCTCTGAAGAGCTTGCAGTGAAGGAGGGGAAATGAAACTTTAGTTTGTGAAGTAATGTAATCATATATTACTGTTCTTTTAAAATGAGATCAGCTTGGAGAGCTATTTACCAGGCTGTCAAACTCTGAGAATTAAAAATGACAAAAATCATAATTTACTTCATGTTTTGCTTTTCAAAAATTCAGGTCTTTGAATAGAAGATAAGATGTTTGAAGACGTGAGGAAGGAAATTTTGTGAAACAAAATTTAAATCTAATTTCTGGAAAATTAGTATTTATCAGGAATAAAGCCATTCACATCATTTGACCAATGTAGCCTATCAAAAGTTATTATTTTAAATGATCATATTAAAGAATTTACTTAAGAATACTTAAACAGCCTGACCATATTTTTAGAGGCAATTTGTTTTTAAGTAGGTTTAGAAAATGGGGTAATGGCTGGGCACACACTATAATTCCAGCAACTCTGTAGGCTCAGGCAGGAGGATCACAAGTTCAAGGTCAGCCTGGGCAACTTAGTATGACCCTGCCTCTAAATAAAAAAAATTAAATAAAAAGACCTAGGGATGTAGCCCAGGGATAGATAGCCCCTGGGTTTAATCCCCAGAAAACACACACACACACACACCAAAATAAATAAACAAACAAACAAATAAATTTAAGCAGAGGATAATTTATAAAGCATTTATTCCGAAACTTTTTATATAGTAAATATCAACTATTTATCATAAGATGTGATTAGTGAAGTCACTCATCTACTGGCACTATCATTCTGTTTCTGTTTAGAGACTTGATTTTTATTTCTCAGGAAAAGCTTAGAAACAATGTATTGTAGCTTAGATATTTTAATAAGACAACTGAATCTCATTCTGGCATTTTATGAAACATCCACTTATTTCTAAGATTTTCAGAGCTCCTCAGGGTGCTTCCTGGTTTTCTGAACTCAGTGACATGTAGCTTGTAAAGCAATCTGATCTGCTTTTGATCTCTTCTGGCTATCAGCAGCTTTTTTTTTTTTTAATATGGTCAGGCCAAATGATGGCTTCTGTTGCAGTGCCTTTGGGGGTTAAGAATTGTGGCACTTGCCACGTGACTTAAATCAACTCAACATGCACATAGCATTGAGTAATTAAGTTACCAGTTAATGTTTTGCTGCAAGAATGTTTTTATGCATATTGTTTCTCTCTCTCCCTCACCCCCCACCCCCATCTCCTGGACCTGCTCCCCCTTCTTGGAATAAATGCTTTATAAATTATCCTCTTTTTAAATTTAATTGTGTGTGTGTGTGTGTGTGTGCGTGCGTGCGTGTGTGTTTTCTGGGGATTAAACCCAGGGGCTATCTATCCCTGTGCTACATCCCTAGGTCTTTTTATTTCTCTCTTTCTATCTTCTCCCTCTCCCTACCATCCTGCCTCTATTACCTAGCTTGAAAAATTGTTTAAAATTCATTAACTGAATCATCAGATTGAAGCAATTTCTGTGTCCAGAGGCATACAGAGAAAAACAGTATTTAAACATACTTGTATTACTAAAATTGTTAGTTTGTAGATATTGCATTTAAAATGGTAAATTGCTAATATTTTCTTTTCTTCCTTATTTTTGAGAGAAGAAAAAAATAAAAATTTAGAAAACTGTTTGTGTGATTCCTAGGGATTAAACCTCAGGGCCTTGCATATAGTAATCACATTCTTTACTATTGAGTTATAACCACTTAAAAATAAATTTTTATTATGATTTTAAAATTTGCATTAGTTTATGATGGGAACTTTAGACAACACTGAAAAATATAAAGAAGAAAATATATTTATCTTTACTCCTACAGTCCAATGATAAATAATATATTTTGGTATGTTTCTGTCTGGTGTGTATATTGCAGGTGCATAAATTATACAATTGGGCCATGATATATATAATTTTTGCTCATTTGATATTCTCTATAGCAGGAGAGTTTAAATTACTTATATTTGCATTCTGTTTTCTTTATGGGTTGTATGTTGTCTTGATACATTTTTCACTATTCTCTCCTTGCCTATTTCAATAAAATTTTGGAAGCCATGTATAGTATTTCTATTTAATTTGTTGGTTCACTATAAATATTAACATATTTTCTTAATTACACAATTTTATAACATGATATTATATCATGTATTTATCTTTCCAAATAAGAGTTTTAGAACATTCCAACTAATAATTGAGCTCCTTCCATTTTTCTTTTCATGTTTTTCCAGACTTTTAGTACTGTCAATTCCTTAGAAATTGCTACTATATTGTAATTAATAGGTGATCACCTTTATGAATATACTTAATCCATTATCATACTACGGTTGACACATGTGATTTTTCCCCTTCTCAAGTAGTATTCTTTCTAAACAGGCTAGTGAATGTTACACTATTTGTCCATTTAGTTGACTAAAAATAACATTTCTTTCTTTGTTGAGCCCATGCACAG